CCAACCCCAGCGCGGGGGTATGATTAACGTTGGCGGAATAAGACAGACACCAGGCCACGTGGCCGCTTCTGGCTCCAAGTTGAGGGGATGAATGATGCCCATATTTCTCTAACTTTTTGGCGACTGCCATTGCCTAGCTAAAAAAAAAAAAAGCAAAGCCAAGTTCAAGCAGTTATTAACGTTAGGGAGTGATCCTAAGTACAATTTAGTGATGTATAGGAATCGTTTTATAGCTTCTTTAAGAGAAATACAAAGGGGGTCGAAACTTGGGCAATAACTTGAGAACGACGCTCGTGTGAGACTTACAGCCACTGCCATGGTTCGGCTGTCCCTCTGAGGTCACTAAAATATTTTTTTAAAGTATTCCTTTCGTATACACATGTAGTTCTATCGGACGTCATATTAATGAGTCGCATTTAGTCATTTCAATACTTCTATCCTCGGCGACATGTTTCGGATGCAGTTCAGCAGCAACGAAAAAATGTTTGGGTGCCTCCATGATGTAAAATTGGTTTTGCAACATTTTTTTGTACTTTCAATAAATACTGCTAAGAAGTAACCCCTGCCGTTTATAGCTTGCAAAAATGTGGATTAGTTTTACTCTCCGCGCAATAGCAGGCGCAGAAAAAATAAAGGAAAAAGACAGCTGTCGATTCCCTCCTCAACTCGCAATTTGAACAAGCGGCCACGTGATCTGACGCTAATTATATACCGTCAGTGTTCATCATAGTCATGCCCTAGGTGGCTAGGGCTTGGAAGGCAAAAGCTTGGGCTGAGCTTCAGATATTTTTAGAGTTGGGCTATTATCATATTTAATTGACATGAGCCGTTACCCGAATGTTTGACGATGCTGACTGGCAAGAACCCGTGCACTCGACTAGGTGTTATGAAAACCGCTTACGTCACGGTGTCACGTGACTCGGTGCAAAATCGTGATGTCATGTTACGTCACGCTGTCAACAAGGCTAATGCATGTAGTGACTTCCTCAAATTAAATCGAGTTGACGCAGTGAGTCACGTGACGCCACGACGTCACGTGACATTACTTGACAACATGTATTGATACCATGACGTCACATGAAAACGTGACATATGGTTAATCATAGTGCCAATACAAAAGTGCCACGAAAACCCACAATTTACCATAAGTTGCAATTCTGTATATGACACTTTGATCAATAGAAATACAGCCGCCAATTTTTTATTCCCATATGTTCATTTTGTGATACTAGCAAAAAATAAAATAATAAGTTACCTTGAACCGTTTTGAACCGGCTACCGTTCTATTTTTTTTCGGTTCAGTTCCGGGTCAGTTCCAAGATGGCGGCGACGATTTCAGTTCGGTTCAGTTCCGGTTCGGCTAAAAATAACGGTTCTGTTCCGGTTTTCGGTTCGGTTCCGGTTCGACACCCTGGCCGCTACCAACGTTTGGTACGTTAGAGCTCTTCCTTGAAGTTGTGCCAGTATCGCGATAGGTGGTCCCTGTAGCTGTGCAACAAGAGCGTAAGTTGTTTCATCTTCGGACCATTGGTTTGCTTGAGCAACAATGTTGGCTTGCTCGAGGTAAAGGTCAAGTTGCACGCTACCATCGAAGGGCTTCAGTTTCAAACGAAGGGGATTCGAGGTGGCAGGAAATGTGCGTAGCGTTGCTGAGTCGGTCCGATTCTCTCCTTTCCTCTAGCGCTATGATTCTTTGTCGAAGGTCTTCTTGTGCAGACGTAACGGGTTGCACCTGCACCTGGACCATAGCCACCATCGTTGATTCGAAGCCGTCTCTCTGTTCCACGAACCGATCCCTCAGTTGGGCGCAGGTAACTGGACCTTCAGTGTTGCTGGTGCCCTCGGGAGAAGGGGAACGTTCGCCAGACTGGGCTTGTTGTCCTGTGAAGGGCATTTTCTTTTCGCAGATCCCACTTCTGACACCAAAATGTTACAGATCGCTTTTTTCCGCTGCTGCCACTTCGTCCTTCTCCCACCTACAACCAACTTCTTCTTCTTCTTTTCGTATTTTTTGTCCCGCTCGTTGCACCTCAATGTCCTACTGTCATAATATTAGGTAGATCACAGTGCTGCGATTGAGCGAAATTGGTAACTTCGCGCCGCTTATTCGGGTTACGAAACCCTTGCCAATTTAAAGTGACGATGTGCAGGCCCATGAAAAATATAAATAGAAAAGAACACAGCATAAAGGTCAGCAAAGTTAAAATACCAGCGCATGGTCCTCCTCGAGGTTCTTCGGTCCGGCACGGTTTTTATTGAGGGATGAACTGGGGGCGGTGTCCGAGCTGTTGTTGGGTGCCGAGAAGCCTCACTTGACATGGGAACGGTCGAGTGGCATGGCGGTGTCTTCCCGAGACGCCGAGTCCGCCGACGACTCGGGGGATGTCATCGTCTTTGACGTAGTTGCCGCGGAGGGGGAACATCAAAACTGGGTATGGCGCCACCCACGTCGTCTATAACAAGGCGATCTGAGTCGGAACTGGTGCAGTCGGCCTCGGCCACGGTGGAGCCGAAAGCGCCTGACGGAGACAACAGAGCTCTGGGTTCCGAGTCCTCGGGGGCGTCCGGAACGGTTTTGCTTGACGAAGGGATGTGGACAGGGTCACGAGGAGGCAGAGGAAAAGTCTATTGTCGGGCAGGCGGGCACAGGCCATCCCAGTCATCCTTGGGTTGCCTGGAGGACTGCAGCACATAGGTGGTGGCAGCTCGCGAGTACCGAAACCATCAAACATACTCAAGCCCTTTATCCTCCTCCTTTTCGCCTTTATTCCAAAACAAGGAACAGAGAGAATGCAGCAAGGCGAGAACGGCTCTGATTTCCGAAGGCCAGGAGCGGTAAATAATTCATCTGCGAAGTGCTCATTCGCCTTCGTCTGACGTATTTTCTCCATTTTATTATTCTTCTTTTTGTGGCTAGGTAACTGCCATTTTCTGGCACGCCGAGTGCTCGTCACGCCGCCACGCGCTTTCATTCCGCGACAGTCGCCGAAAAGGGCAGTGGACGGAAGATTAGCCAGTCTTTCTAGGGACCATAGCGCTACGTACACTTGGTTAAGATGGCCGTCTCCGGATTGCGGAACGACGTGATGACGTTGACAAGCTTATTGAAATCGTAAATATTGCGTCCAAGACAGGTAGGTTTTGATGCCTGGTGCTTGCCTGTCTTCTGTGCTGCGTTCGGTTTTGTCTCCTGGGCCCGTTTGCTCGAAGCTGGTTAACTCTAACCGCGGTTAAAAGTTAACCGCGTTTCCCTACCTAGGTGCCTCGGAGTACCTAGCCGCCTTCGACAAAACTTCGATGCGCAATTTCTCCGTGTTTTATCATTATGCGGTAGCTCCCGCCACCTGCCGGTCGAAGCAAACAAATAGCCTTTTAAGAAACTTTTTCGCTAGCTTTGTCTTTATAAAAAAAATAAAACCGACATCTTATCGTAGTGTTTCTTTTTATGCATAAAATATATATTTATACTTTAAAAAATCATAAATATTTTGATGCATCTATTGTTTCGCCAAACACAGCATAAGTTTACAGCGCTGATTTCGGTTCTGGCAACGGTCTTTATAGATTTGTTGTTTTGTTCTCATATCTTGCAACGCACGTTTTCCGCGCTTTAGTTATCAGCTGATTTTCACTGTTTGTCTTCTTTGCCGTTTGCCCAACCGACCCGCCGATTTGCCCGCCGACTGACTGAAAACTGATTTGCGGACGGATTGGCGAAGATAAGGGACGCAATGTCGACTGTGACGCGACGCCGACATCGAAGAGAGCGCGCGTTCGCCCAATACGCTGTTGTGATGAGGGGACGGCAGCGTGTGTTCCGTGACCGTTTGAACCCTTTGGAGGGGTTCGACGAGGACGAACTGCAGGAACGCTTTCGATTCGGTCGCGCGGGCATTGTGTTCCTCGCCGACCCACTGCGCCCGGACCTGGAGCGGCCGACGCCTCGCAGCCGCGCCCTCTCTGCAGAGCAGCAGGTCATTGTCGCCCTGTAGTTCTACGCCACGGAGAGCTTCCTCATCACCGCAGGGGACTACATACCCGTGCATGTCTCCACTGCTTCGCGGACTGTGAGGCGGGTGACTCTGGCCTTGTCACGTCGTGCCCGAGACTTCATAGGGTAAGTGGTTTGGGGCATCTCCTGGCGCGTCCCCATACTAGGCGCATGTGCATGCCAGTTTTCCAAGAAGAAAGTCTGGGCCTAGATTGCTCGATGAGCAATCACCATTATTGCAGAAACCTTTTGTATAGAAATTTGGGTGCGTGAATACCTGAGTTCGTTGAAAGTGGTCTTCTCAGCACACATATTCTGCAATTTATTTACGGCGCACCACCTGTGCAATGACCCTTCAGTTTTTGTTTCTTAAGCTGTAGACTTGCTAGCTTCAATATCTGCCAGCGTATTGATCCCCCCGTATACTGGTACCTCCCTAAAGGAATATTAATAGTGTTGCTTCAGCACTCGATATTTGTTTTTTGGTTATGAGCGTGACATGCAGACCAGTGAACTAAGCAGTAAAATTACACGAACCAACTGGAGTGTACAAAATGACTCCCTTAGTACCTATTATTGGTGCAGGTGCAAATGCAACGAAACTACAAATAAAGTAGGAGTGCAGATATTTATAAACAGCCTGGTTTCTACACTCCCCACGATGCACTTGGTGCTACTGAGCTAGTCTTGCGGCAACTGAGTACTGTCATTGTGCGGACAAGGTTTTTATTGCTCGCTATTGATGAAGATGAATGTAGGTGTGTTATTTCTGAGCATGTGATCACAACAACAATACCATCGCTCTTAATGTCATGGTGCTACAGACTGACTCAAATTCATCTACAATGCAGGTGGCCAGGTGAAGCTGAGGGTCATGCCTTGCAGCAGGCCTTCTTTGAGGTCGGTGGGCTCCCTTCGGTCGCGGGTGCTGTTGATGCCTGGAAGCACCCACGACTCTAGGATATTCACAGAGGGCTCGGTGTCAGGCAAGCGGGCCGATGGCGTTTACGATGGTCTACTGCTTGGAGATAGCGGCTACACCTGGCAAGCCATGGCTGATGACGCCCTTCTTCTCTCCGTCATTAACAGCGGAGGTCGCCTACAATGCGTCGCATAGCACAACGAGGAGCATCGTGGAACGGTAAAGCCAGGCTATGCGTCCTTGTTCGACGCTTCAGGGTTTCGGCACCTTGAGGTTCCTAAACTTTTTCATATGGTTGTGCCTGCGCTTTACATTTGTTCCCATTTTTATTCTTGGATAGAAGGCTACGGCTGCTCAGAAGCAAGGAAAGGAATGCGTATCTCTACTCCACCTTATTTATACTACTGGCTATAACTAGGGCTCCGTGTTTTCGGATAAATCCTAAAAAGTTCGAAAAACACCCGCCGGTAAAATTTTGGTCAATTCGGATTTATCCGATAAACTCCCAATGTTTATGTGCTAATGCCCCCCCCCCCCCCCCCCCCCGGGCCAAAAAAAAAAAAAGAAAAAGTGAAAGTCTTTTTTTTTTTCTTTTTAGAATTTGATCAGCACGGAGTCAACGGCCCGGGGAAAATGGCACAATAATTATCTTTCAAATCTCAGACCATTGTCAAAAGGGGTCTTGCCCCTAGAGATTGCCCCCGGGAATTTATTGATTTCAAGGTTTCGACGTTTATCGAAGCAACACTTGTGTGCGACTTTTGTCGTGGGACAAATTAATATTGCCAATGGTAGCATGGCACGAACGTCCAATTCAACTGAAGAAATTTTAATCGATACAAGCGCGTTTTAACTTTTATCTGGCGTACGTTTACATCCGGTTATTATTTACATATTTATTTTCAGTAGGAAACACTGCAAAATTAAACTCCGAATTTCGGAGAATTAAGAATAAAACAAATATAAAATCCGATAAACTCCGAATTGTCGGCAAAAAATAAACTCCGAAAAACACCCTCCGAATTTGACGAAAAATAAACTCCGAAAACACGGAGCCCTAGCTATAACCTACTGCCATAGCCTGTATTGTTTATTCTAAGGTTCAACCATTTGTCAGCTAACTCTATATGTCACATTAATTATTCTATTTCATTCGCTCTTTTCTGTTTGAGCTCCAGAATAGAAGTTCTCTGAAACATATCCTTCCTGTTGGTGCTGTATGACTGGGTTTATTAACCTACAAGTTTTTACTAGAAGTTCATACTTAAAAAAAAAGCAGTTAGAAATGCCTGAATGTAAAGCAATTCTTAGAAAAAAAAGCAATGCTTGCGATGGGTGAAAAACAAATTACACATTGGCTTATGCAGGTCTTGCTTTTGGACAGTTTGAGTACAGACATATTCAAACATATCCTCTTAAATACTGCTTATCTCAGACTGCATTTTCCTTGCAGGTTTTTGCTAAGAACATTTTCATTATATCAGTGATGCGATTGCTGCGCCATTTGCCCCAAACTGATCACCCGGCTACCTTCTGCTACATTTAACCAAAATGTGAGGAATTTGCTCCAACATATTGCCAAAACTTAATGTCACTTTAATAATACTGAAAATACAATAGCTCGGGCCTCGCTGCCCGGCCGGACCGTTATGATACGCTTACGCAAGTGTTCAGGTTTTCAAAACTTTTGATTATCGTCTCAAATACCATACTATTCACTCACATTTTGTATGAAAGACACACAGTATCTGGAAGTTTCGTAATAATTTTCATTTTAGTCGTCTGTTTATTCTGGAGGGTTAGCAAGTGTCGTTGAGTGCGCTTTTCACCGCGCTCTGGTGTGCTGCAGAGAAGGAAACACCACGGAGTAGGCATCGCGATTTTGCATGTCCTGCTTCGCCGCAGCGCACCTCCGTGTTAAGCGGAAAGCACTCCTCCAAAGCGAGATGCAACACAATTCCTGAATACAACTTCAGCTCGTAAATATGATAGATTGTGAGATCCTAGCGGTACCTTTTTCGAATTCAAGATTTAGTAACGGTACTTCGGTATTGCAAGAACATTTATATGTGCTCTTTCGTATGTTTATTTATTTATGCCAACTCATTTGTTTAGCTATCAATTTTGTATAGGTGTGAGTAGATTAGAACTAAATTGACAGGAGCAGTGGATGGAATCTCGGGAAGAACCTGAATGAGCTCGGCGGAATTGTTTTTAAGTTTCGTTCACGTGCCGTTTTTGCTATGAAGTTCTACAGATAAAATGTAATTTATGTTGATAATCAAATGACAAGTGCTTTGCTTTTTATCCGAATTATAAATTGCAGTTTTATTACAGCCTCTAGAACTTGAAGGAAGCATCAGTTTATGTCATCAATGTTATTGTACTATTTCAGTGGCATTCAGTACCTAAAATAACCATTGAAAGCAGTTTCTGTTGTCCTTCATCACTCACCTTCTTGTCACCTTGTCATGGTGCTTCTCTATGCAACTAAACGCTATAGTTTTGTGTTTGAGGGACTCCTGCTGTGCAGTTTATGCTAACAAAGGTTTGAATGTATGTGAGAAGGCAATGTAGACATTGACTTTTAGTTGGACAGGCCGAAAAATTAAGCTTGACATAATGCTTGCTTTGGTATGAATAAAAATTAATGTGTGCTTATGCTGCAGAAGTTCTTTTTGTTGCTCCAAAATTGACTTTTGACTGCTCCAAGAGCTGCGCCAAAATGACTCGGACCAATCACATCACTGGTATCTTAACAAAATTTGCATATCATTTCTATGTTAAAATATTCCAGCAAAAATATAAAATATTAGGCATAATACCATGTTTTCAATGGGCTGGAGCGGTGATAGACATCACATGCCGACCTCATTAGAGGTTCTTGTTAAACCGCTTCGAAAGGATAACAGATCTTGCTCGACTTATACACTGTGCAGGACGATAGGCCAGCTCAAGCGTAGGTTCCACTGCCTCTATGCTGAGTTGAGGATGCAGCAGAGAGATGCTGTGACATCACTGTCGCCTGCTGTGTCCTGCACAACCTGGCCAAGACATACCCTTGCAGCATGCCAAGGACTGTCCTCCCCGAAGAGGTTCCCGTCGAGCCCGTGGCAGCGGGTCGTGACGAAAGCAATGAGGCTTGGTACGCCATCACTAGCCAGTTCATCGGTTGAGCGTAACTATACTAATATATTTCGCATGCTGCTTCGCATGGTCGTGAGTGCCAGTGCACTGTGCTGGCAAGGTACTCCCAATGATGTAAAGTCGTCAAACATTACCTTTTAGAACTTATCCTCTGTGATACAATGTTGATATATAAAATTTTTAATACGCTGTACATGCTTCAGTTATATTTCATCTCACCCGACGAAGGACTAGTGCCCATAGCAAATATACCACATGGTTTCAAACAGGCTCGTGAATGGACCCGGCGGCCTGTAGCATTGGGCTTTTGAGTCCATCGTAGGACGAGACGGAGAATAGCAGATCTGAATCCAGAGATCTATTGACAGTTGCAAGTAAAATGAATTTTATTTCTCATCAGCTGTGTTGGCTTTGTCATATGTGAACAAATACATTCAAATTGCAAATTAAAAACAGCATAATATGTCAACGTTTACTCTTCTCCTAACTGTTTTTTTAACAATTTGATTTGCAATTTTGCACGCTGTGTTCCCAGTCCAATTAAAGATTTTTAAAGTTTTTTCGTTCCTCTAGTAATTTTTTGACTGATGGTAGAACTCCTCTGCAGCAGTTGCGGCTGCCATCATTGCCGTGGCAGCTTGTTTAACCCTTTCTGTGCACTCCTTCTCCAGCAGGAGATTGGCTCCCTCCAGCTGCTGCTGCCTCTCTGTCTCCTGCAGGAACCGCTGTGAAGCCTCCCGGCACCAACGTCAGCTGTACGGCACATCCGTCGGAGCCCGCTGCATCGCCTCCTGTGGCAGACTCTCGTACAGCACTTCCGCTCCCAGAGGGACCAGGCTGTAAATCTATTCCCCTGGAGCTGCGAGAAATGCATGTGTAAAAAGTGGTGAGGTTTTGTTCTTGTCAGTGCGGGCAAAGAGAACACACTGTGCATAGTTTGTAACCCTGATAAAGATGCCGATGCTGGGCCAAACTTTATTTATACGTGTTGGTGCAGAGGACAAAGTTTGCTAGCTAAGTTGGTTTATATACTGACATGCAGGCTTGAGGTCGGAGCACAGTGTCGTTACTTCTTGCACAATTGCCCAATACATGGTGTGGGAAAATGCGCATTTGGTTGTGAAGAGCATTTGCAGGCATGTGTTCATGCACTTTCACTGCTAAAGGTTTGAATGCAGCTGTGTAGTTATGTGATTAACAGTTCATAAAACTAGTGGTCATATTTCGAGTCCAATCTCGTTGCACTGTGCACATTGATAGGACAACTTCAAACATTACAGCACATAGTTTCACTGGCATTGATTTTACTCGCACAGGTTACCATCATGGGAGTCGTTAACTTCACAACTGGAATGAAGGAAGTGTTTGAGCCAATTTTTCTAAGTTGGTAAAACTAGGAACAGGATGGTTGCACTGTGTGTGACATTTTAATTTACATATTGAAAACCTGATACAGTTACCATAAAAAAAAAGCCATTGCCACTTTGTTGCATTTAATTTTTATTAGATTATGGTAAAAAGCTTTACCTCCTGATTTTTCATTGCGTGCCGTCCTATTTCATAAATTCGTAGCTTCGGTAAAACTCTTTCAGCCTTGCTGAAAATAATGAGAAATGTGGTAGCGCTTTGTCTTGCCAAATCTTGGAGTGTACTCTGGAAGACGGTTTCGTGACTTATACTTCGAGTCGCCTTTGAGCTTTTGTGGTTGAAATAAAACTGAAGCCAGATTCCCGAAATTTTCTTACGACAAAAGAGCTTGTAAATTTATCTGACGACAAAGTTACGAACTTTTGAGTATTCCTGAAGCAAAATGTTCGCAAGTTTTGCGCAAGTTACAGATTTCGTCGAAATGTGCGCAAAACTTAAAAAACATTTTGCTTCGGGAATACTCAAAAGTTTGTAACTTTGTCGTAAGATAAATTTGCTAACTTTTTTTGCCGTAAGAATGTTTCGGGAATCTGACCTCTGGTCTTTATATAAAAGTGCTTGGCAGTAATGCTATTCAAATGGTAACATGCCCATCTTGTTATCAACATTTGTCCTCGTCTTTTAGAGCTTCGCCTGGAGCGACAGTTCTGCTTTACTATGACCGGTTCCTTAGCACCATTTACTCGTCACACAATCGGGTCTAGAAACCAGTCACCTACTCTTCCGTGTCACCTATCGTGGCAACCAAACCCGCACAGATTGGGAAAGTCCTCGCCGATCGTCTCGAGGACGGCTTCGCCGAGGGGCGTCAAGACATGGGGGTTTGGCCCAGCACCTATGAATTAGGTAATTTCCTCTCGTCTACTACTTACTCGAGTCATGAGCAAAAACAAAGGAGGTGGGGTTCACTGTTCAACCAAGTATGTAAATGAAACCTTCATGGGAAAATCAAAATAAACAAATACTGCATGAGGCATTCTTTTAAACATTCAGTAACTGTGACATAACATTGCTGAAACTGTGGACTATGTAATCATGCAATTTTTACTTTCTTACAGTTTGGCCTGTCGGCCTCGGTTGGCCTGGACCATTGTGCTCTAAAAATGTGTGTTAATATTGTGTCCCAAGTGTTGGGTCTTCCACTAGAACGGTTTTACGAGTTCCAGACAGCCTGTGCAGAACTTGTACATAAACTGCAATAAATGGTCTTCTGATGCTGTAACACTGCTCTTACTGCTGTTCTTAGAAGACGACAAGTCGACTCCCAGCAGAGGGCAAAGGTGCACGAATATACAAATGTCCACATGCACGTTTCTAGGTCTGATTGTCCCTATATTATCACTAAAGCAATGCAATATATTTTTATTTAACTTAAGAACACAATAAACTTACCTGTGCGCTGTTCGTGCTTGTATAAGCTGTACAGCAATCTGGTCTTCTTTAAAAGGTTCTTCGAACACTGCTGTAATTGGTCTGGGGTACGCAAACAGTCCATGCCTGTCTTTCTGTTTGGGTCGTGATCCCAGCACTGAACTTCCCTATAATTTGATATTTTCGCTCGCCCACTACCCAAATTAGTTGTAATTGTTCGTCCAATTCCTCCGCCGTTTCATGCTGATGCTTGATGTCGCCCGACTCATTTTAGATTTCAGATTGGTTGTGATCGTCTGCTACGTAATTATGTCTCTCCTTATAATCCTAACAAAACATCTAGTTATCCCAAAACAAAATAAATTGACGAAAGACAGGCGCAAGAGAAAACATGGACACTTTTTTCATGATAGAAGCTTTGTTTATTTCCCAGTTGTACAAGTCCGGTATCCGTGCTTGTTTATTTCCCAGTTGTACAAGTCCGGCATCCGTGCCGGCAGTTTATATTGAGGTAACGGATATTTGCTTCCGAGGAAAGTTTTTAGTTCACATCTTGCCTTCGTTGAACCGTCTCCCGCTGCAAGGGGGTCGTCGGTGTTGTGGATGCGCTGCAAATACAATACACGGCGAACTGTACTATAAACCGGACTCCGCGATTAGAGGCAGTTTTTCGGAGTGATTTGTTTCACTACCATGCGATTGCGGCTCAAGGTAAGTAAGTAAGTGAGTTTATTTTAGTAGGTTTCAAAAGTGAAAAAAAGAAAGCTGGACGTTGATTACAACACAAGATCTGTTGACATGACATTTTGATAGCGGTACGATCTCATTACTTTCTCGTGAAACATCGCGGCACTCACCTAGGTAATCTATTTGAAGATCCCGCTCACTGTACCATTCGTTGAAACAAGTGCACGGGCGATGCGTGAACTCGAACTTGACATGACCAGTCAAGCGTAGCACGCTCGCCGTCCGGCGGTGGGCGAGCTGCCGTCGACTCCGACTGTAGACTCTGTGTTGAAATGTTCCTTTCGTGGCACGAGGATGACGCATCTTCGTAAAAATAAATGTTCCCAAGCGTGACGAGCAGCCGTAGCAGCCATATTGTCTGATGCTAGGTACTATTTGACTCCGGCGTCCCTACCCTGCAGGTCACGTGACCTAAAATTCCCACTCGTAGGGAAATCCGGTTAACCGCGATTAGTTAACCAGCTTCGAGCAAACGGGCCCTGATGCCGGGTGCCAACTGACAATGAACCTGGTTTTGTATTTCCGCGAGTCATCAACATCTAGTTTAATTTAAATCAATTTAGTGTTGCTCAAAGACACCCTTTCGGACGTATTGCATGAACGAGGGTTTGAAAACCTAAAAACCTACAAAAGCTCGATACATATAAAACTTTGGGTTTAAACACTGATCAAACAATGAAGAACAAAATCAGAGGTGCCATTGATTGACTCAAGTCATGTACACAATGCCAAGCACATTCAAGCCGAAACAGATTATTATCTTGGAACTAATTCAACAATAGATCTTCACATTCCTTCCTAAACAACACGTCACGTTCTGTTTCTACAGAGTCTGAGAGGCTGCTCCAATTTCAAATACCCAAATGCCAAAACTAACGCAAAAGGTTCCACTTTCTGGGTTTTATAACATCGGACCGAAATGTGGGTTCCAAGCCTACAAAACGTTTGTCTGAAAGTAGAGTCACGGTAATAATTTTGATGAAAAAAAAACACAAAAAAACACAAGCGTAAAATTGTTTTTATCTCCAAAGAAGACAGACCAAAATTTTATTTTAAACTCGTGGCATTGGATTGATACGCGTATTTTCCAGAAATAATGCGGGCAGTTTTATTTTGTTAGGCTTCAAGACTTTTGATAAGATAATTTTTGTGCGGGTTTCAAATTATATTTGCATATTCTACAGGGTGATTCAAGGAGACACCAGGCTCTTTAAATCGACCGCGAAATTCGGTTTTTTAAGCTATCGCGCTACAACTTTGTGCAGCGTTGCCCACAGATGGTGCATTTTTTTTTTGTGAAATTTGCAAACAGAGAACTTACCTGAGGAAAAAGTAAAGAAAGAAAAAGTCTTAACTCCTATGGAAACGCAGCGACGTTACCGGTCTTCAAACACGGCACCGTTTCGCACGGGAGACAAGTGATTGCGCAAGCGGTCGCCGACACCAACTGCCGCCAACGAACGAGCATAGGACGCCGAGAGCCGGCGTCTTTAGCAGACAAGGAACTGCAGTTGCTTGTTGTTACCGCGCCTGTTTTTGTTTCTGCAACTGTCGCCGCCTGCGGAACGCGCGCCGCTTTTGAGTCGAAAAGATTGTCTGCTAAAAACGCCGGCTCTCGGCGCCGTATGCTCGTTCGTTGCGCCATCTCTTGTCTCCCGTGCGAAACGGCGCCGTGCTGTTTGAAGAACGGTGGCGTCGCTGCATTTCCATAGGAGCTAAGCCTTTTTCTTTCTTTACTTTTTCCTCAGGTAAGTTCGCTCTTTGCAAAGTTTACAAAAAAAAAAAAAAAAAATGCACCATCTGTGGGCAACGCTGCACGAAGTCGAAGCGCGATAGGTTAAAAACAGAATTTTGCGGTCGATTTAAAGAGCCTGGCGTCTCCTTGAATCACCTTGTAGTTACGGTAGAAATATAGTTTCATAGGCAAGCCGGCGCGTCTCTTGGGGTGAATGGTACAGTGTGCGTCTTAGAAAAGCGAGCTCTCTGCATGCGTTTAATATGATATGATCAATGTGCATGTTCCCACTGAAGCTGGACGTGGAATGGATGCCTAGATATTTATATGACATACAACTTCTAGTTCGGGAGAGAGGAGGCTGTACTGGATCAATATCACATTAGTCTTATTGGTAACTCTCATTAGTCGGCATTTGCTAATGTTAAGCTATGGTGCCTGGATCGCGTCTTCGACTGGTGTGTTTAGCGTCCTATCCTGCCCATACATCAAAAGTGGTCCCAATGTGGCAACAGATGACGTCAAAGAAGCCGGAGTGTCATGCTGTTGCCTGACGCGATCCTGGCGGTCGGCCGTAGAAATGCTGGCGAAAAGCACGAGCGAACGCGAGTGTCGCTGTCGTCACGGCGTCCCAGGCGTCCGAACTTCCGGCTGCTCTAACTTCCGTGAACAGCGACAGTGGAGAGCGACCTGCAGCAGAACAGGCGTCT